AAATTCTACATGTTTCTTCATTTATAAAGGGAATTACAGCCCTCCCCTGCCCCCCAACAACCACCCCCAAAAAACAGTTGTGGAGATAGGGAGAGATTAAGCTGAAGATCTAACCCTGAAATTAAGTAACTTCTCCTCCTTTGGATTTTTTTAATTTTTTGTATTGGGGTGGGGGTAGGGAGGGGCAGAGGGAGAGAGAGAATCCCAAGCCGACTCCATGCCCAGCACGGAGCCCAACGCAGGGCTCTATCCCACAACCCTGAGATCATGACCTGAGCTGAAATCAAGAGTCAGACATTTGGATGCTTAACCAACTGAGCCACCCAGGTGTCCCTCCTTTGGATTTTTAATTACAAAATATAACATACTCATTTATTAATACTTCATCCATCTCTACATGTTTGAAACATGAAAGTCTTTTACTCATTCCTCATTCATCACATTGTAAGAGTTTGAAATCATTCCAGGGCCTCCTGGGTGGCTTAGTCGGTTGAGTGTCACCCTCGATTTTGGCTCAGGTCATGATCTCAGGGTCGTTAGATCAAGCCCCACATCAGGTTCTGAGCTGAAGTTCGAACCTGCCTAAGGTTCTCTCTCTCCCTCTCCCTCTGCCCCAACCCCCCACCCCTACACTCATGAGCGTACTCTCTCTAAAAAAAAAAAAAGAAAATCATTCCATGCTACAGTCATTCAAACGTACAGAAAGAACCTTACAGTAAACACCTGTATATTCACCACATACATTCTACTGTTAACATTTTACTATGCTTGTTTTACCATCTATCCATACATCAGTTGATCTTGTTTTTCTCATGCATTTCAGAGTAACTTGTAGACATTAGTGTTTTCCCTTAAATACTTCAGCATACATATGATTAACCAGAGTTCAGTATTTCATTAGCTTTATTCTTTTTTTTTTTTTTTAATTTATTTACTTGACAGAGACACAGCGAGAGAGGGAACACAAGCAGGGGGGGTGGGAGAGGGAGAAGCAGGCTTCCCACGGAGCAGGGAGCCTGGTGCGGGGCTCGATCCCAGAACCCTGGCATCATGACCTGAGCTGAAGGCAGACGCTCAACGACTGAGCCACCCAGGCGCCACACATTAGCTTTATTCTTTTGGGATAAATATATACAGTGAAATGTGCAAGCCTTAAATGTACTTTTGCTAAATTTTGACAAATGTATGCCCCTGTATAATCCCATATCTAAGATAGAGAACATTACCATAACCCTTCAAAATTCCCTTATGCCTCTAACCCCATCCCTCTGAAGACAACTACTCTTAGGATTTTTTTCCACCATAAATATCACAAGATACCAGAAATGTTTCTGTTTTTTGATTCATTGTGGACCATACATGCACAAATGTGGTTTCTATTATTGGTCATAGGTCATATGATGTTAAGTGTTTCTTGTAGAAAAGATTCATATTTATGATGGTTTTCGTTTTATAATTAATTGACTAATATGAATAGGTTTTATAGAAATTATTTCTAATTCTTCTTTTTAACCTCAGGGAACCTCCACAAGGAGCTCATTTTCTTGCCAAAAGTCTGGATGATGCCTTAAAACTTATTGAGCAACCAGAATTAGCAAATAAAGTGGACATGGTTTGGGTAGTAGGAGGCAGTTCTGTTTATAAGGTAAGTAAAATTATAAAGAAATATTGAAAAAAAAAAAGAAATGTTGTACCCCACTTTCCTTCAGCTTCCCTGCCATCTGAACTTTAAAAAAATTAAGTCATGAGCAAAGGAAGCATATTATCCCTACTGTTAGCTAGACATATTGTCAATTTGAATTATTCATTTTAGATACTATCATGAAAACTAAATAAAAATATAAAAGTGATTCTTTAAGCCTGTTCCGGTTTATTTTCAATGCAAAATAGTTGATGTTTCTAATTTAAAAACATTCTAAATCCTTCCCTTAGAATCATACTTGCTCTGCACTGTTTTCCCATCCAAGTACTAGCCAGGCCCGACCCTGCTTAGCTTCCGAGATTAGACGAGACCGGGCGTGTTCAGGGTGGTATGGCTGTAGACACACTGCACTGTTTTCTACTCCGTGGGTGTGCCCTGATATACTGAATTATTCCCTTTTTTTCAAGGATATCTACGTCCTCACTGATAAAGGGATGAGGCTCTCAGTTGCTGTATACTGACTAGACGTGTATGAATTTGTTAAAAGCAGAAGACTTTCCCTTAACAATTTTTATATAATATGAGGGCATGGGAAAAGTATCATATGACTTCATAATATAAGGAAAAACAGGTAAAATAGAAAATAGTCCTTACTCTTTTTTTTTTTAACACTTACCATGCCATAAATTCCTAGGAATGGATTCCAGTAGCTCAGGCTCCTTTCCACTGGTTCTCACAAAGTGTGCTTCCCTGGGTGCAGCAGGCTGGTACTTCAGTTGAACCCAAGTACCTTTCTCTTTGGCTTCCTTCTTTTCCTGATCATTTTCTTTCACACACTTCAGGAAGTTATCTCAGCTCTTGAATGCTTAATATGCTGAATATGTACATTAATTCTCTTAGCAAGAATCTTGCCCTTCAATTGTTTGTTTACAACAGTGACAACAGCATGCTGTCCCCTTGTAGACTCTTCCGGTTTTGCCAGGGTAACACTGGTGGGGCATTCCTGTTTGAACAGTGCCCATTCCCTTGATGTCCACAATATCACCTTTCTTGTAGATTCACCATGTGTATGGCCAAAGGAACAACTCCATGTTTTCTAAAAGGCCTAGAGAACATATAGAGGGTACCTCTCCTCTTTCCCTTGGTGCTGGTCATTTTGGTAAATTACTAGAAGATGGAGGCTCCAGCCCAAAGCTTTTTTTTTTTTTTT